AGTGTCCCTTTTATTCTCTCTGTAGGTTCTGCTCTGATGATTTATTAATTTCATGTAATGGTTTCATCTCGTTGTTTTCAAGATTGATGTCTTTAACTGTCTTTAATCCCACTTTCCCTCCCTTTCTTCTTCCTCTCATCTTCCTCTCCCTTTTTCCCTTTTCTGGTCCATAATTTTGGGCCATTCTCTCCCTTGCCCATAATCTTTGTAATCTATGTGTAACTATTGATAATCTTTAGTGATGTGATTACTTTTGCCTTCCTTGTCTTTTTCTCATCAGTTTTTAAATTGCAATTCCTAGTTCTAGTGCCTTTTGTTCACTTAGTCACCCACTCTTCTTAACCAGATACTTTTCTCCCCATCATTTTATTATAAAAAATTTCAAACATATGGAAAAATGGAAAGAGTTGTACTGTGAATATCTGTGTATCTACCACTTGGATTCTATTATTTCATCTTTTGTTGTTATTGTTGCATTTCATAGTAAGTAACAGATATCAATACTCTTCAACTCTAAATATTTTAACATGCATATCACTGACTAGTGTTTAGTATTTATGTAGAGGACTTTTTTCTTTTGGGGTAAAATTTACAAAACGATATGCACAGATTTTAAGTGTGCCATTTAACGATCTGTCTTCTGTTTCCCTTTAAATCACTTGTGCTCTAGTAAGGTGACTGGTAACCATTATAAGGCTACATTTCTATCTGGATTTTCAAAAATAAACTTTGAATAACACAAAGTACCTTAAAATCTTTGTTTTTGTTTTTATTGTATAAGTGTGCTACACAGCAAAATGATTATAGTCAAAGGCATTTTCATTTTTTCCAGATTGTTCCATACTTAAACAAAAGTTCTTAGCATGGCCAATGCTATCACATAATGCATGCTGGAGAAAGGACTTGAGGATATTTTTGTTTGGTTAAAACCATCATGAAATTACAAAGAAAGGCCAGCCTTGCTTTTTGTCAATTTCATAAGCTAAATATGTAAAAAGAGTAGTTAATTCAAGATGCTATAAATATTTATGGAATGTTTTATAGTGTATTAAATACTTCCATTTGTTTTAACTCACTGGAGCCTCAAACTAACCATGTTAGATAGATGGAACAGGTAGATAGATGAAAAGACTTAGGACGTGGGAAAGACGTGGGAAGGGCAGCATAGCCTCCATTTTTTCTGACTGGTAGTGCAGTAAATTGAAGCAGATCGTTTCCCATGTACCTACCATCTGGATTCCATTATTTCTTCTTTTGTTGTTACTGTCACTAAGTCTCTAGTTCAGGTACCATCCTAGAGACTGGGATTAGTTTATGAATAACTATCAAATGTTTTATTGTGCAGACTAGTGTTAACTAATGGCAGCTCTGATGCAAAGACATACCAGGACAATATTTTGAATTCTCTATGATGCAATACTTAGATATAAAGTAACTATCTGTCAGGATCCAGCTAGGCACAGAACTATCTAAGTGTGCTATATTTAGGATGTGACATACTGATACTACATGCACATTCTGTTCTTACACAAGTGAACAATATCATGGAAGTGCCACGTTTAATGTGGCAAAATGCCTGTTGTTTCAGACATACAATATATGAGAAGTTCATTGCTGAACAGAAAGCCTTATTGAAGTATCTATTTTGGAAGACTTATATTCTACAACATCTTGGTGGTACTTCCCTTCTTTTCCTTAAGTAGATAATTATTTAATGACAAAACCATCTGGAGAAAATCAACTTGACACTCTGGGTAAAGGACTTGACAAAAATGCAGGCAGTTTTGTTCTTATCAATTGATGTAATGGTTTAGCTCTTAAGTTGTTTGATACCCCTAAGGAAAAGCTGAAAGAGATTAACATGACTCCTGAAGAAGTGTTCTGGAGCAAACTTTAGGGTCGAAATTTATTGAAAGTCCTTTAGAATCAGAAACAAGATAATCTATTTAAAGTTGCCTTTAAATCTGCATCCTTATTTTTGTCATTTTGTTGAAAAACGGTTTTCCCTTGGCTATGCTAGGAATCGTATTTCTTTCCAGGTTTCCCCTGTCATTGATACAGAATGGTCTGGAGCTACTAGTAAATTGCATAGGAACTGAAAATCTTTTCTAATAATATATACATTCTTCTAATATTGGTAAGGATACCTGCCTACAGAGTACAAATAATATAAGTTTTTCAAAAGTACTAGATTATTCTTTGAAATAGGAGTGGTTGATCTGCCTCATGTGCAACTGAAAGAGTGACTGGACCTGGCCGATTAGTTATGTAAACACCTCTGTAGATAGTAGGAAGGACAAGGAAGGACAAGGAAGACGGGCAGGAAGTTGTTCCCATTTAGTGCTCATCCGGTGCTTCTGTTTCTTTCCTGTCGCCTTTCTCTCAGGACTGTCTATCCTGGAGCTTGCTGAAACTGTTTGTTTGTTTGTTTGTTTGTTGTTAGAGTCTCACTCTGTTGCTCAGGCTGGAGTGCAGTGACCCCTTCATGGCCCACCACAGCCTTGACCTCCTGGGCTCAGGTGAGCCTTCTGTCTCAGCCTCTCGAGTGGTTAAGACTACAAGCATGTGCCCTATACCCAGCTAATTTTCTGACTTTTTTATAGAGAGAAGGTCTCGCTATGTTGTCTAGGCTGGTCTCGAACTCCTGGGCTCAAGTAGTCCTCCCACCTCAACTTCCCAAATGCTGGGATTACAGGTGTGAGCTATTGTGCTTGGCCCAGTTTTGTGGTTAAGGCATCTTTGAGAAAGGATTATTTTTTACATAAGTCTATGGGCTAGGAACACCCTGTCAGGTATAAGGCATAGGTAGTGTTAGTTGAGAAAGAAGGAAAATGAATTATGGGGGAAGAGGAGAAAGAAAAGAAAGAAGGACATTCAAAAGAATGCCACCAACAGTGGTTTCAGATAGTGTCACTCAGTTGTATAGCATATTGTGCCTAATTTGGGTGTAATCCCCTTAGTGGCCAGTTTATTCTCTGAACCTTGGAGCAGAATGTTTTTATTTTTTTAAGTGCATCTCTTTTCCCTCAATGCTATTGACAGTTTTGAGAATCACAAAGAAAAAAATGCATCCATAATCTTTTCCCTCTGACAAAACCACTGTTAAACTGTGGATATACTTTCAACCAAATCTACTTTTTTCTTCTGTAATTATTTTCATTTGTCTGGAATTAGAAAATACCTATGTTTTTGTCTCCTGCTTTTGTGAAATATCTTTCCATGTGTCCTAGGAAGGCTGGCTAAAGGACAAATATTGGTTGATATTGCAATGCATTAGCTAAATTGTCACTATAGTCTGAAAAGTAATTTTGTATTGCATGTTGGTTTTTTTTTCAGTGGGTGGCCAATATTTCTATGTACCATTACTATTAAGTAAGTGAATAATCTTTCAAATTATGCTGAAGGTGAAGATGATTGGAGACTTTAGGAATTGTTCTGATTTGTGACTGGGATTTATTAGCTGCTGCTTTCAAATGTATAGTTTTTTTTGTTTGTTTGTTTCCATTTTTTTGTTTGTTTTTTGAATTGGAGTCTCACTCTGTTGCCCAGGCTGGAATGCAGTGGCACATTCATGGCCACCTCAGCGTCAACCTGCTGGTCTCCAGCGATCATTCCACCTCAGACTTCCAAGTAGCCGGAACTCCAGGCGTGTGCTACCACGTCCAGCTAATTTTTAAAAAATTTATTGTAGAGACAAGGTCTCACCAAGTTGCTTGGACTGTTCTCGAACCCGTGGGCTCAGGCAGTCCACTCACCTTGGCCTCCCAAAGTGCTGGGATTATAGGCTGAGCCACTGTTTCCATTTTTAAATGAGCTCTTTTCTTAATGATAATATTAAGATATATTTTCTGTAGTAAATTAATAAACCTTCATCAGTCTTTATTCTGGTTGACAGATATAACAAGCTAGCTCTAGTGAATGAGAAATGGTGTCTAGTGAATGAGAAATGGAGAAATGGGAATGGCCTGAATTTTCCCTGTAGAAAATGATTTTGGTGGAGTGGTTCTGCTATTTTGCCAGAATCAAGTAAATTCCAGTACATTTAGAGTTTTAATATAGCCAATTCTGTTAGGACAGTCTTACTTGAGAATTCTTTTGTGACTGTAGTAAAATTTTACCAATTTATTTTGTTAAAGCTAGGAGAAGTTTTTTTTTTAAGTTACTGGCCATTTAGCTAAATGAGCTATACGTCTTAGCAATGTGTATAAAAGAAAAGAAGCCATGCAATTTGGGATGCATTCTCTCATGGGAATTTTTAATCTCAAATACCATGTGTTAGAAAAGTTACATGGTCTTTGTCATCCTTATTTAATCCTGGCAGATGGTTTTTCTTTCTTTTGTAAAAATAGGTCTGTTTAATAATAATAATAGTTCCATAGATATATTCTTAATCATTTAATTACACTACTTTTGTTCATCATGTATCTTTAGTACTTCTTGTAGTACTTAGCAGCAGCAGGCACTCAGCTATTTGTTACGTAAACAATGTGGGTTATTGTTAATTACAGAATAATAAATCTTCATTTGTTCTTTTTTGTGGTTGTGGTTTAATTGGAGTTGTTTTTTAAATTACACTAAAAAACAAATTTGCCTTTGTAACTTTAACTCATTATTAAAGCTTCTTGAACACATTCTTCCAAAACTTTAGACTGAATGACTTTTCTGAAATGTCTTTCACTCTGGGATGGAAATCAATTTTAGAAATAGATGTAGTAATTTTAAACTGTTAAGTAGAATTACTGCTGACTGCAGTTTTCTAAGGCTAATATTATAACACACTCTCATGGGTTGTCTTGAGTAGGACAGTGAAAAGCTAGGAAATTTGGTAGTTAGCATAAATTTAAATATTCCAAAATTTGTTGTAATAATTTGGTGGTGGGAAAAGATAATTAGCGACTAATGTCTCTAAAGAGAAATTTCTCTGTTAAAAGTGAATATATAAATGAGCACTAAAACTGCACAAAGAAGAACATCCTAATTACTATTTCTGTTTATTTCAGGATTGAAAACAGAGTGAAATAACTTTCAGGTCTAAAAGATTATTAAGAACACAAGATGGGGACTCCTGGTTCTGGAAGGAAAAGAACACCTTTGAAAGATCGATTTTCTGCAGAAGATGAAGCTTTGAGTAGCATTGCCAGAGAGGTATGTCTGATAAATCTCCCTCTCAACACTGAGTTTTATAGATGAGAGTGTTGTAAAAATGCTGAAGTGACAGATACAGACATTCACTTATTGAGCTAGTTTCAAAATGTTTACTATGAGCAAGATTTTATGACTGACCTCTGATATACCTTTATTAGAATAAAATATACTTAGATATTATCAAAATAAATAAAATACTGAGATGAATCTCTAAACAGAACATTTACTTGGGACAACAGAATTGCAATTTGGACATACACAAACTGAGATGGTCTTTTGTTCAAATAATGAAAAGTTTGGGTTTTTTTGTTTTTGTTTTAGGTTGGAAAATATAGTTTATTTAGAAAGTATATTGGAGAAAAAGAAAGAGGAGATTCACCTCCACAGGGAGAGGGCCAAAACTAGGAAACATGGCGGCCATAGCTCAAAGAGCCACGTGATCACACCAGAGCTTAACAAAGCAATGGCAGGTTGAGTGTTTTATTAAAAAGAGAATTATTAAGTACTGTTTTGAAAGAAAGCTCATTGGCACTAGTGAGGTTTTTGGGAGCTGGCATGCTCTGATTGGTGAGTGACAGTGGTAGGTAAAACTAGTCTTAGAGTTATGGCAGTTGGTTTCTGTAGCTATGAGGTAAAACTGGTCTTGGCAGGTCATTTCGGCAACTGGCTTGAGAGATAATCCCTGACCAGGCACTTGTCTCCCAAGTTCTCTTTTCTTCCCCCTCGTTTCTTGACCCCTATTTAATTGAGTACGACAAGATAATTCCAGTTCATATAATCAATTTTCACAATATCCAATTCATCCAAAGTTAATTTTTCATTATATATTTGTGGGTTACATGAGTCCCAGGTACCTATCCTAATATATTGAAATTTATCATTAATCTTCAGAATTTAAGCTTAGGATAATTAGAATGTTAAAGATTGATAAGTATATTCTAGAAATGCTTATTGGACTATGTAATTTGTCCCAGAAGGTGCTGTATATAAATGTTGAGAGAAACAATTCTTATTTGTTGTCTGCTTAAATTTAGTGTCTTAGTTATTTTTTGAAACATTGTATTTTATGTTTAGTTTTTTAGCTAGTAACAGAGCTTCTGGGGCATTTTTATTTCAGTTTTTTGGCAATTCAGGAAAAAAAAGAAAAGAAGGGGTGTCACCTATTGAATCACGGGCAACAATTCCTGTTGTATATTGAAAATTTAAAATAACTCTGAACTGGGATTTCTTAGTGAAGTTTTAACTTTGTTTCAGATTCTATATGAGGTTGCAGACTGACCTAATCTGGTAGAAGGATTGCCTAGAGCTTTATTAAATTATATTCTTTTGGTGAGAATTATTCTTATCACTTCCCCTTGTTATTCTTAGTAAATAATTCACTTAGGATTAGTGCTGGGGTTTTGTTTTTGTTTTTGATATTACTCCGTCTTCTTTTGATTCAGTTCACTGTTACATTTTTCTTTTTGGAAGCAACTCCTTTAGTTTTTGAATTAGAAGTCAGATTCTGTCGGAGGATATTGGAAGCAAAGAAAAGTTATCTAAAAACTGTCATAACAAAATTGTGATATTTAACACAATTACTTAAAAAAATCAATGAGACTTTTTAAATAAAAAATGAAAGATATTTAAAAATGAAAAAGTAAGCTGGGCACGGTGTCTTAAGCCAGCACTTTGGGAGGCCGATGTGAGAGGATTGCCTGAGCCCATGGGTTCGAGACCAGCCAGGGCAGCTTGGTGAGACCTCGTCTCTACAGTAAATCAAACAGTTAGCTGGGTGTGGTGACATGTGCCTGTAATTGCAGCTACTTGGAAGGCTGAGGTGGAAGGATCTCCTGAGCCCAGCAGGTTAAGGCCACGGTGGCTGTGAGCGTGTCCTGCATTCCAGCTTGGGTGACAGAATAAGACTCCCACTCAAAAAAAAAAAAGTAGACACTACTTTACAGTGATCTTAAGTATTTGTATGAATGAACCATTTTGGAAGCCACATAGTTTTAGTTGAAAATTGAAACTAAGCCAGGTGCGGTAGCTCATGCCTATAATCCCAGCACTTTGAAGGTGGAAGGCCAGAGGATTGCTTGAGCCCAGGGGTTCAAGACCAACCCGGGCAACATGGTGAGACTTCATCTTTATAATAAATAAAAAAATTAGCCAGGTGTGGTGATATGCACCTGTAGTTCTAGCTACTTGGAAGACTGAGGTGGAAGGATTGCCTGAGCCCAGCAGGTTGAGGCTGTGGTAACCATGAGTGTGTCACTGCACTCCAGCCTGGGGGAGAGTTAGACTCCAACTCAAAAAAAGGAAAGAAAAGAATATTGAAGCTACCTAGATGTTTATTTCCAAAATTCCAAAATCTAGGGCTTTGCCTAGATTTCTGTAAGGAAAGAAAATGTCTCCCCCTACTAAGTTCCTTTTATACCTTAAGTATTTGCTACTTTAAGTTATTGTTGAGGTGATGCTTCCTTTAAAAAATTGAGTAGGGCTGGGCACAGTGGCTCATGCCTGTAATCCTAGCACTTTGGGAGGTGGAGAGGAGAGGATTGATTGCCTGAGCCCATGGGTTCCAGATCAGCCTGAGCAACTTGGCCAGATGACTCTGACTGTAAACAAACAAACAAACAAAAGTCAAAAGGCTCAAGTTTAACTTGAAATATGAAAGGGCCAGTTTTCATTGTTAAGATTGTCTAAACTGGACTTGGTGGCTCAGCCTGTAATCCTGCGCTTTGGGAGGCTGAGGTGAGTAGATTGCCCAAGCCCGCAGGTTCGAGACCTGCCTGGGCAACTTGGCGAGACCTCGTCTCTACAATAAATCAAAAAATTAGCCGGGCGTGGTAGCGCGCACCTGTAGTTCCAGCTACTTGGAAGACTGAGGCAGAAGGATCGCCGGAGCCCAATAGATTGAGGCTGCGATGGCCAGGAGTATGCCACTGCACTCCAGTCTGGGCAACAGAGTGAGACTCCAATTAAAAAAAAAAAAACCAAAAACGATTGTCTAATATGTGATACAATAGTTTTAAAACTTTAGAGGAATTGTATATCACAGTTTTAATAGTTCATTCATACGTCCCTTGTGAATCTTTTTCTATCCTTCAAAGTTTTTATAACCATTCCTACTCTGTCCATTCATACACTGACTGATTGATAATCATACATAGGCCCTAATCCTTATTTTCTCCAGGAGGATCATCCCTTTCACCCAAAAACATTGCTTTATTTAGAAACAAACCAGAGCTAACAGAACTCTCATAACAATAAAAAGGACAAATCATTTAATCTTTTTTTTTAAGTTAAATCTTAAGAGTTTAACTTGTCTTTCTTCTTTTCAGCTTGTTTTTTGGAGTGGATAGGGAATGCCATAAATAAGTAAAAATAGCTTCTTTTTCTTCTTGCTTGGTATCTGCTCAGGTTTCCATGCTTCTCAATTGGCCAGAAAGCAGACAACCAGAGTGAATAAGGAGGGAAAAAAAACAAAGGGCATAAATATATTCCACAAACTTAATAATTTGCATGCTAAAATACATGACTGAGTACATTTAACAAATTCTGGTAAAATACACATAATATAACATTTACCATCTTAACCATTAAGTGTACATTTCTGTGGCATTAAGTACACTTATATTGTTGTGCAACCATCGCTAACATTTTTTTCTAGAATACTTTTCCTCTTACAAAACCTGAGTGCTTTTTCTTAAAAAGATGTTGAAATGTTTAAAGACTATTCTGTGAAGGCAGGCATGCGAATGAATTTAGAAATCCTGTCATGTCTGTAATAGGCATGTTGCTGTTTTGCTCTTGGAGCTTGAGCTGCTAAAGCTGTTGGAGGAGTTCAGAGGAGCAGATGTTGGAAGAGGTCATCAACAAGTCCCCTAGGGTGTCAGAAGATCAATCTAAATGCTTAGCTTTCATGTGTGTTTGGCTTTGATTGTTTCATATGCTTGTGGAAAATGTAATTGGAAGGTTGGTTTTCAGTGAAAATTATCTGAAAACATATGTCTGGTGTATTAAATTGGCAGCCTTAGGCAGCTAGCCTCTCAAAAGGAGAAAGATGAGGGTAGAAAAAAGTGAATTATGCTTCTCAAAGTATTCCTTTGAGAAGAAAGCTGGGCATGGTGGCATGTGCCTATAGTCTCTCCCAGCTACTCAGGAGGCTGAGATGGAAGGATTCAAGGCTGCAGTGAGCTAAGATCCTGCCACTGCACTCCAGGCCAGGTGACAGGGTGAGACCCCCATCTCTAAAAATTAAAGAAAAAATTAAAAACAGTCACTTTTGGTACATAGACCTACTTATAAGAAGAAAGAAAGGATACTCCATGGCTGTTTTATATTTGTACCTACTAGAACATTTGGATTTCTTTTTTAAAAGTGTGCAGTTCAACCGGGCTCGGTGGCTCAGCCTGTAATCCCGCGCCTTTGGGAGGCTGAGGTGAGTGGATTGCCTGATCCCGTGGGTTTGAGACCCACCTGGGCAGCGAGATCTCATCTCTACAATAAATTAAAAAAAAAATCAGCCGGACGTGGTAGCGCATGCCTGTAATTCCGGCTACTTGGAAGGCTGAGGCGGAAGGATCGCTGCAGCCCAGCAGGTCGAGGCTGCGGTGGCCGGGAGCAGCCACTGCACTCCAGTCTGGGCGACAGAGTGAGACTCCAACTCAAAAAAACAAAAAACAAAAAACAAAGTGTGCAGTTCAGTGGCCTTAATTACATTCAAAATATTGTGCAGCCATCCACTATTGATTTGTAAGACCTTTCATCATCTCAGACAGAAACTCCCCATTAAGCACTAACTCCCCATTATCCCCTCTTTCAGCCCCTGATAACCTTTAATCTGCTTTGTGTCTCTATACCTTTGCCGATTCTAAATGTTTCTTGTAAGTGGGTATGTACAATATTTGTCCTTTTGTATGTGGTTTATTCTGTAGCATAATATTTTCAAGATTCATTGATGTAACAGGTATCAGAACATTCCTTTTCTTACTTTTCCTTTTTTTTTTTGAGTTGGA